GGGGCCGGGGCCCGCGGAGGGTGGAAGGGTGGAGCTGGGGTGGCGAAGGTGAAGGCTGGAGGTGGTGCAGGAGCCCGGGGGCCGGGAGAGCGGGCGACCGGTGAGGACCAGGACCGGGCAGGAGGCGAGTAAGCACGGCGTTCCTGTGTTTACTAATCGGTAGAGACCCTGGGCACCTGGGGTTCACTACCTCTGTGACACGCGGAGCTGTTCCCGGTGCCTGTGCCTTTAAAGAGAGGTGGGGTTGGGTCCGAAGGGGCTGAGGGTTGAGGGGGAGAGCTGCCCCTTCGACGCACAGGTAGAGAAATGTGACCTCGTCCGCTGGTCCGCTACACGGGTGGGTCATAAGGCAGCCCGGATTTACCTTGCTTATGGGGTAACGCATACTGGCTGGGGTGAGGTCTGGGGAGGGTCTTTCCGGGACCCCGGAGTGGAGGCTGGGGCCTGCACTAAGTATCTAATTCTGGGCCGTGGGTTGTCTGTCACTGGTGTCACTGTGTGTTGTCTGCCGGGGTTTCCCTCCTGTGGGCCCCACCCTGTTTTGGGGGTGGGGGTGTAAGCAGATGAATACACACAGGTGGGTTGGGTCGGGTGGAATGAGCCCAGAAATCACATCGTCCACCTCACTCCTGACAGCCACATCCCAAAACACTCCCCAACTGCCCCCGGAGGGACATGCAAATGAGATTCATGCAAACAAGCCATATGCAAATAGTCTCCCGAGATCCCTTGAGCCTGGAGCGCCCCCCAGAGGCTTCCCCCAACGTGATGGTACAGCAGGGAGGTCCCCACCGCCCTGTGAGGCGCACCAGGGAGCCCAGAGCTGGTCTTTGGGCATTACCTCATGCCTTGCCCCTTGCTTAGTTGGGGTGGTGAGGAGCCACCCCATCCACCACTCTCACCTTGCCCAGGCCAGGGTTACTCCTCGCCCTGTTTGAGAAGAGAGGCCAGGGTGACTGAGATCCTCCTCGGAGACCCCAGGCCCAGTACCCGCCGCCCAACCTACAACGCCCTGAAACCCACCCTGAAACTCCCAACTTGCCTGCACATTTGCCCCTGTGCCCTGCAATGGGGCATCTGTGGCATCAGCCTCTGGTCCCCAGGACACAACCTGGTCTCTCATCCCAGGACCCTCTATCCCAGCACCTCAGGACCTCCATTGGATGGCTGATGCATCCGTGCCCCCAGCTGCCCCCTTCCACATGCACTCTTACGTTCCCACGTGTACTCTCGCGCTCATATGATCAAGCTTACACACTCTCTGCTAACCGTACATGCCCATCCACACGCACTCATACAATTCTGCACTCTCACACACACTTGCATCCTCAGACATTGGTGCAGACTGGCACGCATGCAGTCACTAAACTGTTGCACACTCAGATACACTCAGGCGGAAGGGTTAGTTGGCATGAGGCCAGCAAGTCCTCCTTCCAGCCAAAGGGCTACTGACAGGCCACCCCCCACCCCGGCCTTCCCCTAATTCCATCTTGGGAAAGGGGTGCCAACTATACCCACCTCCCTGGGACTCCCCACAGGCCAGGCCCCCTCTGCCCACCTTTCCAGGCCAAGTAGGAATCACCCTTCTGCCTGCCCCCCACGGCACCCCTACACAGCCCCTGGATGGCCTCACCCTCCCCTCCTGGGGAAGCCCTGCAGGTGCCAGTCAGCAGGCCAGGCCAACAGCCACCACCTCTGGCCACCAGAAGGGGAGGACAGGGGAGGGGAGCAGCCTTGTGGGGGTTTCCTGGACCCCAAGCCCCAGTGCAGCTCAGCAGGCACCTC